TTTTTTTTTTTTTTTTTTTTTTTTTGCGTCTCTGTACACAGTATTTCAGTTCTGTGATATATTCTGTTGGTATTCTGTTACCATACCAAACCTTTCCTGCTCTTATTGAACTGTGCTACCTTCTCCCTTCCTCCCACACACTCTCTCTCCTTTGAACCCCATTACAACAGACACAGACACAGACATAGACACACAGACAAGACAGGTCAGTTTACCTTCACTCCCCGATCAGTCACCGCCTACTACTTCTCTCCACGTGCTAACTACTGGTTGACGGTAGCCCGCGGCAGCTTCTTTTTCGCGCCCTCCCTTGCGTCGGTCCAAGTATTCTGGATCCATCTCACATATTCGATTCCTCCGTCGCTCCATCAGAACTGTCTTGCCTTCCCCTCCCCCCTCTCCCCGTTGGGGCTATCGATCTGACCGTGCAGCATTGCACCCACCCCTCCTCTCCCCGCCGGCAGTCCCCCATTCGACACCTATCCTCGACAAAGGTGATCAGTAGGGAACAAGCACAGTGCGCACCGCCTCACTCGGTGGCTCCCCTTCTCCCTCCAATCAAACCTCAATTCTGGTCGCTCAACCCTGCTGCCACCAGTCGCTCGAACTGTCACTCCACCTTCCCATTAAACACGCCTCCCCCCCCCCTCCCCTAAACCGCACGTCATGAATCACGATAGTTTCTCCTCTCTAAAATTTCGACGGTCGTCAAGCAAGCTTCACAAAGACCCTCCGAGCTTCACATCCCGCATCTTGAAAAGTCAGCAAAGCAATACCTCCCTCAAACGTCACCCCTCAGCCCCCGTTTACCCTCGTTCCGCTGCCGCTGGTGGAGGTCGAGAGCACACACGGACCAGATCCAACGCATACGGCTCCTCCTCGTCCTCCCTCGACCAGAACAGCGGCAATCCTTCTCCGGCCTACTCTGGCAACGAGTCGGGCTACTTTCCGACCAGCCATAATTCGGCGAAATCTCGCCCACCTCACGCTGGCCGAGCTTCTCTTAGTGAGCAAAGCTCAGATGAACTAATCGGCACTCCTTTTGACAGTCGGGGCATGCTCAGCTCTTTGAAAGAGAATTCGACTGAGTCTGATCCCGTTCCCCAGAAGCCCCCGACCCTGCGGTCTGCCACAAGTCCTGAAACTCGAGGATTGAGACAATCGGCCAGTTTTGCTACCTTACAGAACCGAATGGAGACGTTTGTGCACAGGGCGACCGACAATGACCGCTCGGTAAACCAGAAACGTCTTTCGGATGAGGGCAACAACACAACCACTAGGCCTTTCGTGGGCAGAAGCAAGAAGAGTAGTTTTTCAAGTTTCGTGAATAGTATGCTAGGCTCTCCTCGGGGCATCAAGATCTCCGCGCCGGAGAACCCCGTCCACGTCACTCATGTCGGCTACGATAACCAGACCGGTCAGTTTACTGGTCTCCCGAAAGAATGGCAACGATTATTACAGGAAAGTGGTATCTCCAAAAAGGAGCAGGAGGAGCATCCCCAGACTATGGTCGATATTATGAGGTTCTACGAGAAGAATGCCCGGGGAGATGATGAGGTTTGGCACAAGTTCGATCATGCATACCCGCAACACCAGTCCGCGGCCAGTCCGGCCTCTGGCCCGGGGTCCTATGGTCCCAGCCCACAGCGCGTGTCGCCCCCGACAAGCCCGCGATTTCCTCAGAATCATGAAGGGAGTTTTGAAAACCCTCGGGCGCCACCTCCGATCCCTCGCGGTGCTCCTGCAGCCGGTCAAGCTATGTCTCCCGCGGTAGGTGGCTTTGTTCCCAACCGGGCTCCGCCGAAACCGCCAAGCAGCGGCACCATCACCCCGGCGCGTCCTGCGCCTCAACCTCCTACTCCGGCTACCTACGCTGCGGCACCAGTGCGAGCAGCACAAGATGCTTATGCTCAGGCCCATGCTACGCCCCCGATTCCGGAGACTGAGCCTCTGCCCAAGGAGCAACATCCGCTGAGTAGATCCAACTCCAAGGCAAATGGTACGCCTGTGGCGTGGACAGCGCCCTCTCCGGCGCAGTATCAGCAACAACAGGAGCAAGCTATGGTTGCCGCCCAGCAGGCGATCGTCAGTAAGCAGCTTGAGCGGAGCCGCAGCCAGCGTCAGCAGCAGGCCGCTCAGCAGGCCGCTCAGAAGCAACCTTCCCAGCAGGCACCTCCTCAGCACATGACACCAGTGGAAGAGACTTCTGCTTCAATGCAGCATGCGCGTGCTGCTCCAGCCGCCGCCGCCGCCGCCGCCGCGGCAGCTGCAGCACCTGCTGCTCGTCCACGGCAACGGGCTCGCCAGAGCAATATCATGGATGTTAGACAGCGACTACAAGCTATCTGCACCCCCGGCGATCCCACCAAACTATATCACCATCTCAACAAAATCGGTCAAGGAGCCTCAGGTGGCGTTTTCACCGCGTATGAGAATAACTCGAATAGTTGTGTTGCCATCAAGCAGATGAATCTGGATCTGCAACCAAAGAAGGATCTGATCATCAATGAGATTCTTGTGATGAAGGACAGCAAACATAAGAACATTGTCAACTTCCTGGACAGCTATCTGCACGGCTTGGATCTCTGGGTTGTGATGGAGTACATGGAAGGAGGCAGTTTGACAGATGTGGTCACGTTTAACATCATGAGCGAAGGGCAGATTGCTGCCGTCTGCAGAGAGGTGAGTTATCGCGCTGGTTGCTACATTTCCCGTTTTAAGTGCTGACCTTCATCAGACCCTGAGTGGCTTGCAGCATCTTCACTCCAAAGGTGTCATCCACCGTGATATCAAGTCGGACAACATTCTCCTCTCCTTGGACGGTAATATCAAATTGAGTAAGTTGTCTCTCCACGATGCTCTGGTTGTCCATAAGATGGTCTAACGTCTTTTCAGCCGATTTCGGCTTCTGCGCCCAGATCAATGACTCGCATAACAAGCGAAACACCATGGTTGGCACGCCTTACTGGATGGCGCCCGAGGTGGTCACCCGAAAGGAGTATGGCCGCAAGGTGGACATCTGGAGTTTGGGAATCATGGCAATCGAGATGATCGAGGGCGAGCCCCCTTATCTCACCGAGTCGCCTCTGCGCGCGCTGTACTTGATCGCCACCAACGGAACCCCCACGATCAAGGACGAACACAATTTGTCTCCGGTCTTTCGGGACTTTCTGCACCTCGCACTCAAAGTTGATCCCGAGAAGAGAGCGTCTGCTCACGACCTGCTCAAGGTATGTGATTTTCTCCCTTCCGTGCCTTGATTCAATGGGCCTGACTAATCACTTTCCAGCACCCCTTCATGTCTCTTTGCGCCCCTCTTTCGCATCTGTCGCCGCTTGTCAAGGCCGCGCGAGCCAACAGAGCGCAAGAGAAGGCCCAGAAACCGGGCGCTTAGGTACCGTGACTCAACTGCGACTATATACGTTGATATCTTCTGTCTTCTTCCTCTCAGATACCCATGACTCCCGATGTTTTCATATTTGCTGGACATGTTATGCTGGCATCGCATAATGACCAATGTCTTGTTTATCCTCCACTGTTTCTTGCTTGCCGCGGATCTCCCCTTTCATTTGATTGTCTAGATGGCGATGGATTATTCATGTGATGACCTTTGTTTCACCTGTTTTTTTTTTTTTCTTTTTTGGTGTGGTGCTTGTGAGGTTGGAGGTCTGGAGCCTTCGCCGACTGGACACTTGCACCTTGTACTTTGATGGCATAAATGGTTTTCCCAGGTCGGTTGCTGAAACGGTGGAAGATCGATTGTAATGTTTTTCTCTTCCGGCATTTATCCTTGTGCTATCATACTATTTCCACTTATCGGGTTTGCTTGTGCTCCAACCACGGTTACAAGTTGATGTAACACGCTGTGCCATATTCTTAGTGAGTGAGGAGTCTGCAATTGCATGTCCCTGAAGCGTTGTTGCCTACTCGTGTTGATGTGAAGTTGCTCTTGGGTCTTCTACTTGTGATGATTGATGAGGCATTTCATGACCAAAGAAGAAAAAGCATGAACTTGATTTAATTCGCTTACCTTGTGGTTTTTGATCATGGTGACTGTATTTACTGCCGCAGCGGTCAGTCTGCCGCTAATTGCGCAAGATGTCCACCGAGAAATGTCCAGTGTAGTAGTAGAAACAACGCATAAGCATAGAAGCATAGAAGCATAGAAGGATAGAAGGATAGTAGAAGCACATATCGTCATAGGTGGAAGCTAAACCCCATTGGGCACGGGCCAGTCAGGGTGGGCGGTGCAGCTCTCCGCCTGCGCGAACCATCGTCACCTGCTGAGCATCCATCATCAGGTAAGTTGCTGCCTTCACTTTCTCACTCTGGCTCTCCCATGATTCTTGTCTGCTCACCTCTTATGTGCTGCCGATTCAATCTGCAGGACTAACTTCACAGTGTTACAACGAATTATTCTTGCACTCTTTGATCACTGCTTCCACCGCCACTTTACCCCCTATTCCGAAATCAACATCCCGCGACTCCATTATCGAGGCTGTACAATCTCCCCGCAATCGGGTAGTCGAACTGAGCAAAAGTCACCTACACACTCTCCCCAATATCTCAGGCCGCATCAATAGCCCTCAGTCTCTCCGCAGTATATTTTTGTTATTCATATCAGTGGCGCAAGCGCAAATCTTCATAACCCACCCGATATACTCGAACGGCGCATCACCCGCCACCTGTACTTTCACTATCTCTACCGGTCAGCTCGCCCCGCTGGTCTGAGGCACAATATCGATCATGTTCCGCGCGCAGCAAAATGCGTTTGACGACGCAGTCGGTAAGGACCAATTATACCCCTCTTCGACTTTTCTGGTGGGATCATGCTCTCCAACCACACAAACACATACCCCCGTGTATGGGTTGGATTGGGATCGGATGTCGCTGACGTATGACCACTTTTCGGGGACAAACAGCCAAGGCGACTGATGAGAACCTGACCGCTGAAAATTGGGAGTATATTCTGGTACGCAATCTGATCTCCTAAGTAATCTTATCATGGTTGCGAGTGGAGAGAGCTGACATTCGGCACTGGCTATTAGGATGTTTGTGATAAAGTCGCTGCGGAGGAGTCTGGGTACGTCTCGCTTACGCTGGTGGTGCTTCGATGGTATTCCTCGACGAGAGACATGAAGGCTGATTAGCAGGGTCTGCTGAACTGTTTAGTGCAAAGGATGCCGTGGCTGCTTTGATCAAAAGGCTTGCACACAGAAATGCCAACGTGCAGCTATATACTTTGGAGGTTCGCGCGAGATCCCCGAGAGTTTCATGATAAAAGAAGAATTCGATGCTAAGATATACTTCCTCGTCTCGGACAGTTGGCAAATGCTTTGGCGCAGAATTGTGGTCCGAAGATCCACCGCGAATTGGCGTCGAGAAGTTTTACAGATGCCCTTCTGCGCTTAGCTGGCGATCGGGTGAGTATTGCTATATCTCCCTTGGCTCATATGTTGCATACGGGTGTGTACTGATGAGCATGGCGCGCGCACAAGAACACACATCAACAGGTGAAAGCCAAGATTCTCGAGCGCATGCAGGAATGGACGGAGATGTTCGCTAGTAACCCCGATTTCGGGATCATGGAGCAGGCGTACATGAAGCTGAAGACTCAGAGTAAGTTTTGGAGCTGAACTGATGATGAGGGTGACTCGGAGGCTTACAAACACGTGTGCTTGGGTTCTAGATCCGAACTTGCAACCTCCATCGAAACCGGGCAAGAGGGAAATTACCGACGCAGACCGCCAGAAGGAAGAAGAAGAGCTACAGATGGCGCTTGCGCTCTCGATCAGAGAGAAGCCTTCTTCTGCGGCTCCGCCGAGCCAGGCACAAGCCGGCAGCAGCTCGAGTGCCGCTGCTGCACCCGTCAGCGAGTCTCCAGCAGCCGCCCCCTCCCAGCCAGTTCCCTCTGGGACCTCGGCCGCTACCGTCTCTCGGGTGAGAGCATTGTTTGATTTCCAGCCGTCGGAGCCTGGAGAATTGCAATTCCGCAAGGGCGATGTCATTGCGGTTCTGGAATCTGTCTACAAGGATTGGTGGAAGGGTTCTTTGCGAGGCCAGACGGGAATCTTCCCGCTCAACTATGTCGAAAAGCTGCCCGATCCTACAGTTGAAGAGCTACAGCGGGAAGCTCAAATGGAAGGAGAAGTTTTTGGGCAGATCAAGAATGTCGAGAAGCTTCTCACGCTGCTTAGCACTCGCAGCTCGGAGCTGAACGTGCAGGACAATGAGGAAATCACGACGCTGTACCACTCGACCTTGGCTATCCGGCCGAAATTGATCGAGCTGATCGGCAAGTACTCACAGAAGAAGGGTATGTGTCCTGCGGTTGATGCTTGAAATCTATACTCACTGACTCTCATGCAGATGAGTTCACCCAGCTCAACGAAAAGTTCATCAAAGCCCGCCGAGACTACGAGTCGCTCCTGGAAGCGTCCATGTCCCACCCGGCGCAACCCCAATATGGCCGGCCGGCTCAAGCTCCCTACGGTTATCCGGCTCCCGTGGGCTATCCTCAAGCCCCGCCACAGTCTGAGCCTCAGCGATACTTCAGCCCTCGTCCTTCAGGTTCGTGTCGATCATCGTGACTTTATCTTGCCAGGGATCATGCCATTTTAACTGGACAGCAGAAGCCCAGCCGACACAGTCTACTGCGACCCCTTACTACGGTGCAGAACAAGCCCACGCGTACCCTCCCGCTACATCACAATCCCCCGATTTGCGTGTAACTCCTCCTGTTGGTGCCCCCTACCAGCAACAGCAGCGCCAGTCTTCGACCGAGTTCTACCAGCCTACTCACCACCGCCCTGAGTCCACTTACGACAACCCACAAGAATTAGGTACCTCTGTTTACGACTCTCCCATTGAACATCGGCCTCAGTATCCCGGACAAGTCCCACCCGCGGCTTCTGCGCAGCCACATTTCCCACCTCAACAGCAGCAGCAGCAACAGCAACAATCGCAGCCAGAGTTCCCACCCGCTTCCTACCCTCCTGAAGACGCCCACCGACCTCCAGCTGGAGCCAACACCGTCCACCACCAGGCGCAACCGCCCTATCCCACCCACCAACCAGCCCCAATGCACCAGTCTCCCCCAGTGCCAGGCAACGCATCCACACCCACACCATACCCTTCGTTGACTCCTGGGACTGGTTCGTACCAGGCATACAGCCCCTCGCAAACCGACGTGTCCAACCCTGCTTCCTACTACCGGTAAACTTCTCTGAGCCTCTGAGAATCGTGGTAATGGAGAGATGGAGGTCTGGAGACAGGGCGGGCATATCTGTCTTCCTTCTGGTATGCGCTTGTTGATCAGGCTGCAGAAGGCAGTGGGGGAAGGCATTTCCCGTTCCAGTCATGAGCTTGAGCTTGAAGCAAAGTATTGAGCTTTTGTTTCCTTCTTCATACCACTTGTGCTCCATAGCGTTGTGCTTCTGGTGTTGTAATATGATTTCTTTCCACTTTTAGTCTTGGTCCTCGGGGCCTGCTCGTAGTGCAGATTATTCTACCTTCCCTATCCCAAGAGCCCATCCCACTTCCAAACGGAAGCAAAAGAAACCCGATGAACTGGCAGGAGCAATCTAACAGGCAGAAAAAAAAAAACCAAAATAAGAAGTATGCGAGGACTCGTCACATCCGGCTCCGTCGGCGCTCTATCTGGTCCAACAGTCTCTGTATGTAATTGATCCGTCCGCTCGACCTTCCGCGGCCGATCCTCCTGGACCAGCGCGATGCCCGCCTGATTCGTCAAGTGCATCAACGATGAACGTCACTCCAACAATGCCAGGCCACAGACTTACAGTCTCAATCACCTTCCATATCGCTCTTGGTGAGTTAACTTGACTGTGATTCTTGTCTAGCCGGGCAAGTTGTGGCTTGATCGCGTCGAATCCAGTCGGAGGGAGCTGGCTCAAGAGATTGTAGAACATCTTGCATCAGGCGATTTTCTTAAAGAAGAATGAACAGACAAGCCTTTCTGCCTCAAGAGAAGCTCTCATACACTCATGTTTTGTAAGCACGGATTTTCCAGTTCCAGGTCCTGCAGCTAAAACTACAGGCCCGTTGTCACTCCTCATCCACTTGGCGAAGGACTTTTTGCAGGACTTCTCACAGCTAATATTGGAGGTTCCTTGCTACTTGGACGACTGTGTATAGTAGTTGGATGGTTTACTTGTGAAGGTGCTTACCAAGCTTTATGATTCTACAAGTGCTGGCACAAGTACTTGCTTGTGGTGCCATCTTGTTCCAGAATGCCCCTGGCTTCCCTGATATCAACGCCTTGCTTGCTTATGGCCCAGAGGCTTTGAGCTCTAACTGCAACCTTTTTTCTTAATCTCACGTCGATACTTTCTTGCTTTTCCTGGTGTTGTGCCGGATCTCCCTCGAAGACTCCATGGTGTCATTTGTTCTTCTAGACATTCAGTCTCCATCTCGTTCCCTCGAAAGGCTAGTAACTCATTATCCACGCCTTCACGATGACAATGCTCATCTCGCGGTGTTAGTCTCACAGGAACCCGTATGCTGCACCTGCAATCCTGATTAGATTTAGATGTTCGGGTAGTTCGACTTTTTGGGGTATCAAGTAACCGCCTGCTAATCTAATAGAGTGGCCAAGCCTGATCAGCGAGAGATTTTCAGGTCGTGACACCAAAGGTATCACCAGAGTTGGAGATCATCTGTCCCCAGTCTCAGCCCGAGATACAAAGCATGTTGTGACCACAGCATCAAGGCTTAAGCACACGAAAGTTGACTAATCATCTAATTGACTTAACTATGAACTAACTATCAACTTAACTAACTTAACGTAGGGCTCCGCGCTTACGTGTTTAAAGATTGGTGATTTCAGCCTCGTCTACTTTCAGGTTCACCATCACCTCTTTCACCTCACTCACCATGGTCAAGAAAGCTGGTTTACGGCGGAGTTGCACCTTCTGTCGCGCACGCAAGATCGCCTGCTCTGGCGAACCCATCTGCGCGGCATGTCGCGAGCGATCCAGAGAATGTGTCTATGACTTGGAGAGTGCCAAGGGTCGTCCGCGCCTGGACAAGACTTTCCCATCTATACCGGCCGAATCTGCCTCCAATGCATCCACAACCATCAGCATAGTGGCAGAGCTGGATGTGATGTTTCGCGAGGACTTCAGCGACGATACCATGGCCCCGTTTTCACCCAATTTATTCCAGGATAGAGTGGCTACCTTCAACCGACATCTAGTCATGGGAGATGACAAGGGAAATGACAGCAATCGTGAACCCTCCTCCTCCTCTTCCACTCCAGCAGCAGCGGGATGCATAAGTTACGATGGCTTCTTGGCTCTCGTTATGCAGGAACTGATTGAGACCACCGCCCTCAAATTCAGCAATCTAGGCTGTCATCCATTTTTTGGACCCGGAGAGCGCTATTACCGGGCCTCCATGCTGCAGGATACCACCAAGACGATGTTCGATAGTCCCGCGTCCTCGCTCTCTCCATCCGCTGACCCGGATTTCTTGACTGAGTATAGCCCACATCTGATCACCCAGTATCTCGAGGTCTGGTTTAGCAACCATCCTCTGTCCATTTTAGTCTCCAAGTCACTTCTCCTCCGCGACCTGCGCGGCCACAAAGCCAATCGGATATTGTTGGCGATCCTGCTGGCGGATGCCCATCAATTTGCTGACGAGTCTGCCAAGGGAGATCGCCTGGTGCAATGGGCCATTTCCCAATTGTCCAGCATTCCGGCGGGTAAGGGAGATCTTACCACCGCGCAGAGTCTCCTGCTACTGGGCTGGTATCATGCCTGCCGTGGACATGCGCGCCGGGCGATATGCTACGTGGGCTACGCAGGCCGCATCCTCGTGAAGTTAAAGTGCCAGCTGTACGAATCGTCTCTCTCTGGACAGGCACACATCAACGGGATTGACCTTGGCATAGTAGAGGCAGAGTTAATTCATAATGCATGCTGGGTAATGCTGGCCCTCGTGCTCTGGTCATTCATCCAGATGGATATGCCTCTGTTAGATCTTCTGCCTGGGCGACTGCTGCAAGTGCTTCCTGCTAGCTCGGAGTCAGAGTCAATGCTGCTACGACTCGATCGAGCAAGCGGAAATCTCTCTAGTTTGAAGCCCCAGCTTTCCTCTCTGCAGTCGGTCTGGCTGCTGGCGCACATCACCTCGCTAAGTGCCCACCTATACGCCCTTTATCCGCAGCCCACACGCGCCCCTCCTGCGCCGCAGCCATGGCAAGAACTAATACTGTACCGCCTCGATCGCCTCATGCATCAAGGTCGCAGTTTGGCGCAGATCTGCGCAGATGCTCGGGAAGCTCTGCTGGACGTCGTCACGATCGCGCAGCACGATTTCGTCGATGGGCGCGATGGGCCCGCGCCCACGCTGCTTGTCTTTCACCAGGCTGTTCTTCTGCACCTGCTCTTCCCCCGCGGAGAGACCAACTGTCATGCTCCCCACACCTGTTCTCTGAATGAGTCGCTTTTCCAGCAACTCACAACCTCAATACACGATCTGGTCAAGCTATTCCCTGCTATTCAGATCGCCACGCGACAACCCTTGACTCAGCCGGCCAGCATAGGATTCACCTCGCTTCATCTTTATGTTCTCAGTCTGGACGCTGCTAGCCGAGCTCTTCTGTACGTTCTCACCCTCTGGGACCGCGCCACGACAGTGGAGCAGCAGATCTGGCAGGATAGACTTCCAAGGCTTTTAGAGGGCGGGCTGAAGATGTACGCTTTGTTTGATCATGATACCTTGTTACAGGACCACCGATGGCGAGCAGTGAAACGTTTCTTGAAGACCGCATGCAGCAGACTCGAAGGGGCGATTGCCGGCTCCCCGGATCAGTCTTCTCATAGTAGCTCGTCTTTCTCTACGGGACTGGACTTCAATCTGCCTACGCAGCTGACTGCCGCAGCGGACATTTGCAGCATCGAAATGGTGCCTTCCTCGACGCTCTTGCAGGTCTCCCACGACGCGGGATTTGAGTGGCCTGACGGGCAAGACCTGGCGACTCCACAGAGACCGCCAGAGAACTCTCAAGCTGTGACGTCCGAACTGCCCGCTCTTGACCTCGCATCTCTAAGTACTCCCATGCCCCTATTATCACTAGGATTGTCGAACTCCATATCCCAAATCAGCGACAGCCAAACATGCTGTATGATTCAGCAGTCATCGCAAAAACCTATATCCGTCACCTCGTTCTGGGATCAATCGATTCTCAGTCTGGCACACCAACATCATCTCGTGGACACGGTGCCGGAGCTGTCCTCAAACTCACCAGCGGATCCGGGTATGGCTGAGCAACGGAGACAGCGCAAGCGATCTTCAACGAGCACCGGTGGTCTGGACGAGGGTGTGTCAGGAACGGACATACGAGAGAGGTTGAGACCGAAACAATTGAAGGGCAATGGCCCCACGTAGCACTTCCCTTCTAAGTGGTTTATGTTCCCCGCATTGCTGCTCACGTAGAGACTTATTTATGTAGTCATGGCTGCTCGTAAATTGGTAAGCTTACAATGCTTTGAGCTGTCTGCAACAGAGCATTGTTCATGGTCGATTGAATCTCCGTCCCACGGTCTTCTAGCGAAGAACTGCTATGAACGGCAGATATGCAAGTGATGCTCTGTTGAAATATCTCCAGTTCGGGATATCGAACATGATCACTGAGGTGTTGATCCGATTAGATTATTTTGGATGTTCAATGCTACCGCTTAATGTCCACCCCATCATCACACCAATAAGCACGCCATTGGTCTGGGAAGTGGTATGATGAAGAGGTGCATCCCGAGTTGGTTGTGAGGAGTCCATGAGATCTGCTTGGAGTTGTATTGGAAGTTGTTGGATAGGAAAGTGGTGAGAGGTGAATAGGCATGATTGATGTTAAATGTCTACTAATATCATATGGATCAGTTGCATGAATTTATATATACTTAGTTGATGCTTTTTGCTTTTGAGTTTCATCATGACTGCAACTGGATGCCTTGGTGAGACTGATATGTGATATATGCCTACTCCTTGCTGAACCTACCTAGAGGACTAATCAGATCATATCCTCGATATGAGTCTCCCACTGATACTCTCAACAGATGAGCTGCTGCTGCCCGTGGGATGTGGTTCTTTATCCTCCAGTCCGGCCCGCTTCCGCCTCGCTCACGTGATGATGTGTTGGTCTCTCACCTCGATTGCCCGTCCTGAATGCCTCGTCAAATCCCTCGACACCAGAGACACTGCGTCTCCCAAGTGGCCGTTGATTGTGAGAGTCCGCGAATTGCTTGTCTGACTCGACGCGGCATATTATCTCCTGCGCCCTGTGCAAACAGACTCGAAACTCCACTTTTCCCATCACCACCTCTCACCACCTCTAAGCTCTTATTCCCCGCACTCGCGCTTTCGCCGAACGATGCACCTTGTCTCCGGTTCCCAGATGGACAGACCCACCAACTGCTGCTGAATCTCCTAAAACAGCCCAGAGCCGTCTCAAGCCAGTCCTCAAGTCCGGGTATCTGCCCGGCTGCCATGTCCAGCCATGGAAGCTGATTGGGATGAATTGTCGCGCATTCCCGTGCCGCCTTCAAGCCCGCACGGGTTGCCGACGATCGCAACCACGATAGCCTTTGACGATGTGATGGAACTTTTGTGGGCTGGAAACGAATATGTACGCGCCCAATTCTCCGATGATATGGCAGTAGCGATGCTGATCTAGTTCTCTCTTTTCCAATAGGGCCGCATCACCTCCTTCTACGGTCCCGAAATGCAGAGGTATACCTCTGTTCGGGCACACCCTGTGTCCGAAGGCGCAGTGCGACAGATTCTTTTCCACGAGAGAGGCGTATTATCGATCTCCCCGAAGAGCGTCCACATGATCACCAGACGTGGCCTGACGCAGTGGCACATCGACCACGAGGAAATGACCGACCTTCGCTGCATGAGTTTCACGGCCCAGACGAACCGGATTATAGTGGCAGGATGCCAGAAAGTGATGTTTACGATAGACATCGATAAAGGTATCATCATCGACCAGCTGCCGACGGATTACAACTACACCATGATGAAGAAGAGTCGGTATCTCTGTGCGGCAACAGACACCGGCTCCGTCAACGCGTTGAGTTTACACGACTTTAGTGTCGTGAAGTCGTGGAAAGCACACGGCACCGCGGTCAACGACATGGATGCGCGGAACGACTTGCTGGTCACCTGTGGATTCTCAGTGAGACACCTTGGGGCGCCGATTGTGGATCCACTCGCCAATGTCTACGACCTGAAAACCCTCTCCCCGCTACCTCCGATTCCCTTTCACGCGGGCGCCGCGTATGTGCGCATGCATCCGAAATTGCACACGACGAGCTTTGTGGCCTCCCAGACAGGTCAGCTTCAGGTAGTGGACTTGATGAATCCGAATGCGATCAACCTCCGCCAGGCAAATGTTTCTTTCATGCTGGGTATCGACCTATCGCCTTCTGGTGAAGCTCTGGCCATTAATGATGCGGAGTGCCAAATCCATCTCTGGGGATCCCCGGCCAAAGTGCATTTTAACGAAATGAGCAAGGAAGCCGAATTCGCCGATGTTACACCGCGGCCGCCGCCTGTCGACTGGTCTGGGGAAACGCCCCTCAACATGGTCGGGATGCCGTATTACCACGACCGGTTGTTCTCAGCATGGCCGAGTCATTTGATCTTCGAGGTCGGTAGTCCCCCGGCTCCCGTTGATCAGGCTTTGCTCCCCTATCTACGCCCGGCTGAAATCGGCCATTATGCGGCCAACCCAAAGAAAACGCGGCGGTATCAAGTGGAGAATACCCGAGCGTTGACTACTGCAGACACTGCTCTAATTGCACCCAAATTTTTGAGTGAGAAAGCCAGGGAGCAGAGCAAGGTCAAGTCCGATGGTTCCGTTAGCGACACGACCGAGGCCTTGGCTGGTGCGAAGCTCAACGGGGAAGCCGAAGATGATCCGCTTCTGAAATACAGCAATGTTGAAATCAAATACAGTCGGTTTGGGGTCGATGATTTCGACTTCCGGTATGTCATATGGGCCCACCATAAGGCTTGAGACGGTGCGATTGACATAGTACAGGTTCTACAATCAGACGACCTTCTCTGGTCTCGAAACACATATCGCGAATTCCTTCACTAACGCTCTCCTCCAACTTTTCAAATTCATTCCGATGATCCGGAACGTTGCTCTTCACCATGCCGCCAGCTCCTGCATCTTTGAGAGCTGTCTTCTCTGCGAGATGGGTTATCTTTTTGACATGCTTGAGAAAGCCAACGGCCAGAATTGCCAGGCAACAAATTTGCTGAAGACATTTAGTAGCTCTCGTGAAGCATCTAGCTTGGGCTTATTTGAGGAGAACCTGACAAACAAATCTCTTTCCACGGCCATCCAAGCAGTCAACAGATTCTTTTTGACACAAATCTCCCACGACCATCGGATGATCTTACCCAGCTCGGATGAACTCGACCAGCGGCTCAACACTGTCGCTTCTGAAACTATACGCTGCATGTGCTGCCAGAATGACATCGTCCGTCCGGGTAACACGCTGGTCAACGAGCTGGTGTATCCCGCCATTGACCCCAAGCAACTCCGCCGGAATCCTGCCTTCCGCTTCTCTAACATATTACGGGCCAGCATAGAACGCGAAACACAAAATAGAGGATGGTGCAATTTGTGTCGACGATATCAACAATCAAAGATCCGGAAAAGCATACACCGCATGCCTCAGGTTCTGATGCTCAACGCAGCACTCAGTAATCCAATCTGTCGCCGACTCTGGGCGATCCCAGGCTGGTTGCCCGAAGAGATTGGAATAGTCGTCGAGAACGGCACGACTTTATGCTTTGAAGGTGACGAGCTCAAGTTACGACTCCAATCCAAGATGCCTGGACTTGTGATCTATGAATTAGTGGGCTTGGTCTGCGAGATCGACATCCCTGAGCATCAGAAGGCTCACCTAGTATCCTTCATAAATGTCTCCATCTCTTCTCCTGAACCAGACCCCACGAATAAGTGGCATTTGTTCAATGATTTCCTGGTAACAGAAGTTGATAAGGATGAAGCCCTACGATTCAATCAACCATGGAAAATACCATGTGTTCTGGCTTTCCAGGTTAAGGACGGACGTCATTCCATGGACGATTCGTGGAAGAAATCGCTCGATACCACCCTCTTGTTCCGTGACTGGTCTATGAAGTAAGTTATCTCAGGAAAATGACTGTCCCACTTTGTTAACTGACATCTATTACCAGTGGCGGCCATGCCGTGGAATCGCGCGTGACACTCACCGAAGAGGAAAAGCCTTCTCCAGGCACGCCCGTGGCTCTGGATACTGAGTTTGTCGACCTCGAAAAGGCGGAAATCGACGTCAAGGCAGACGGTTCCCAAGAGATGGTACGGCCAAGCAAGAGTGGCCTTGCTCGTGTGTCTGTTCTCCGAGGTGCGGGGCTTCGCGAGGGTGTCCCGTTCATCGATGATTATATCACCATCAAAGATCCTATTGTGGACTACGTTACGCAGTATTCTGGTATCAAGCCAGGTGATCTGGACCCCAGGACTAGTCCACACAATCTGGTTCCCCTGAAAGTGGCCTATAAGAAGCTTTGGTTGCTTCTTAACCTGGGCTGTGTGTTTGTTGGCCACGGCCTGGCCTCCGATTTTCGGAAGGTCAATATCCAGGTTCCCAAGAGTCAGACGGTGGATACCCAATATCTATTCTTCCATCCTGGAAAGAACCGCCGTCTCAGTCTACGATACCTCGCGTGGGCTGTGTTTAAGGAATTCATTCAAGAGGAGTCTACCGACAACAATCAAGGACACGATTCAATCGAGGACGCGCGGATGGCGCTACGTCTTTGGAAGAAGTTCAAGGAGTACGAAGACGCCGGGGTTGTATCTCAGATTCTGGAGGAGATCTTCCGCGAAGGATCCAAGCTTGGCTTCAGACCCCCACCCAGGAATGGAACCACTACTGTCCTTTCTCGCCCGGGCACTGCAGTGACTATGCAGAATGGCAGCGGTCGCAATACCCCGAGCACTCCTGATGTAGGGGCTCCTGTCGGCAGCGCACCGGCAACCCCCCGACAAGCGTTTCGACGCTCGATCGCCTTGACTCCCAGTAACGGCAGCTTTGCGAGCCCTGCTGCTAGTGACATTTTTGGAGCAAGTCCGATGAAATAAGCAGCGGTTGGCTATCTATGGCTTCTTGTTTCGGTCATGCTTCTATCTATATACCATGATTTGCTGTATATAAGCGATCTAGATCGAGAGACCTGTTACTGTCCCCATTGGGCATCATGTTCATTGGCCTATGATGCATCGCATGTTAATCAGAAATAGAAAATCATTTAGATTCATCATTAATTTTGTTCATCATTGTAGATGCCTGCATATACTCATGAGGCCGGCCGTTTTGTGAGCAGTGACCAATGTCTCCCCGGTGACTGGAAGAACTGGCGGGTGGGGAATGACGTGGTGCGGGAGGATCTCAGATCAACTCAACTCAGCTTCCACAAACTGGCACCGCTCAATCTTTCCCTTTGCACACTTTGTCTTTATCCCAAAACCACTCGCAGTGCGTCAACGGGTGCTTCGAGCCTAACAAGACTACAGACTGGATAGACTACCTTTAGATTCGTTTTTCATCGCACCTGTTCTTCGCCAGACTCGATCTGTTTGCCTCCCTAACGAAAACCCCTCCTTCCGCAAGCTGCCCCCGCCTTCTCCAGACACAATCAACGACACACCATGTCGCGCCACCGCGTCAAGGCTGTTAGCTATGATGAAGACGAATATGACGATGGCTACTACTCCCCCGATCCTGAAGAACAGGAGTTCCTCGAACAGTGCACGACAGAAGTGCTGAATCAGCTGCGTGCGGGGGACCCCTCAGTGACTGCGACCCGCAGTGAAGTCCAGGATGCACTATACCATTACTACGATGATATTGAGAAATCCGTGAACTACCTCAGAGGTACGTGTGTATACTGTCAGACAGGACGAGCTTTCGCCGTCGCAAATCGGTGTATCCTGCTGCAGAGATCCGGCTAACCGCCGTGCTTCGCTTCAGGTAAAAAAGTCAAGGAACTTCAGAAGAAGCAGGCCGCCGCCGCCGCTCCTCCTGCGGCTCTGAAGACGAAAGGGACATCAGGTAAGCACGATTGGCACGCTCCCCGTCTTCTGCTTTGTTTTTTTTTTTTTTTTTTTCCCATTCTGCAGTGGTTGGGCTCGACCACCTAGCTGTAATGTTGGCTTGGTTATCTTTGCCTTTTGGAATGTAAGTACATATGGTGCCCTTCTTTCCGACTGTGCGACTGGTTCAGACTGACGTCTTTCTTTTTTTTATCGCCGCAAAAGCTCTGGGATGGGTTTATTCTAACAGGCTTCTTTTCAGTGCCAGTATATCCTGAACCGCCTCTGATATCTCCCGCCCCGGCTGCACACTTTTCGGCGGCTGACTTCTTTCGCGACGCCCCATGGTTGAATATCCCGAGTCACCGCAAGGCTGAGATACTTGTGGAGCCGCTTTACCCCCGGCTTGGTCTTTTGGGTGGTGCGCCCGAGAGCGCGGGCGGGGGGAAAGTGTCAAAGTTGGCTGCCTTGGCTGCAGCGCGCAGGAAGAAAGAAGGCGACAAGGCTGCTGCTGCTACCCCGCCCGCAGCTACGGACTCAACTGCGGCTGAGACAGCCCCCAAAGCGGCTTCTACTGAGTCGAAAGGCGCAACCTTGTCGCTTCGCGAGAGGCTGGCGGTCAGCGGAAAGTTGCAGAAGTCGCCTTCCGACGGTCATCAGTCACTGCGCTCTCTTGGTAGAGGGTCTCGGCAGGGTGGCTCCTTGTCAGGCAAGAAGACTTCAACCGAGCCCGAGCCCCAAGAAAGCCCCAAGCAGGAGGAGGCTGCATCTGTGACTCCAGAGCCGAAGACATCTGGGACGAGCGAAAAGGAGGATCACACTGCTCTTAATATCCGTGCACCGCCGTCCACGTTTGCCAGCGCCATGGTCGGAGATTCGACACGACCCAAGATGACCGAGCCCAGCCACTTATCTGCAAACACCCTTGACTTGATCAGAATTTACGGACAAGATCTTACTGAACCTTTTGACTTTGCAGGCCCCAGCCCCGACGACGTTGTCATCAACGCACAGAGCTCTGCTAAAGGTTTGGCTATTCGGCGCAAAATATAGGACCTCCCCCTAATGGACGTGCAGGCTTCAAATCGAAACAGCCTGCTTCTAAGTCGGCAGGTGACAAGAAGACGCAGGCTGACCTGGCGGGCGGAATGAATAATCTCAGCGTTGAGGAGAAGGTGAATGTCAAGAGCAAGAATCTTGATGTTCTGTCAGAATACAAGAAGGCGGAACGGAAGAGAGCCATGAATTTTGCGGTTATTGGTGCGTAGTCGACTTCCAACTGTTGCTGGGTTCCGACTAACAGCACAATAGGTCATGTTGATGCGGGAAAGAGTACGCTGATGGGCCGCTTGCTTGCTGATTTGAAGGCAATCGATCAGCGCACGCTCGACAAGTACAAGCGGGAGGCAGAAAAGATCGGGAAAGGTTCGTTTGCTTTGGCCTGGGTCCTGGACCAAGGCGCGGAGGAGAGAGCTAGAGGCGTTACAATTGACATTGCCACCAACAAATTCGAAACGGAGAAGACGGTGTTTACGATTGTCGACGCTCCTGGCCATCGTGATTTTGTGCCCAACATGATTGCCGGAGCCAGTCAGGCGGACTTTGCCGTCCTTGTTATTGACTCCAGCATCGGCAATTTCGAGTCTGGGTTGAAGGGACAGACCAAAGAGCATGCTTTGTTGGTGCGGAGTATGGGCGTGCAGAGAATCATCGTGGCTGTGAACAAGATGGACTCGGTACAATGGGACAAGGAGCGTTTCGACGAGATTGAGCAGCAGGTCTCCTCCTTCCTGACGACTGCCGGCTTCCAGCCCAAGAACATCAACTTTGTGCCTTGCTCGGGTATCAGTGGCGATAATGTGACTCGGCGCAGCGATGATCCGAATGTGTCGTGGTACCAAGGGCGTACTTTGGTTGACGAGCTGGAGGCCACCGAACCGTATTCCCATGCGGTCGACAAACCTCTGCGAATGACCATCGGTGATGTGTTCCGGGGTAGTGTTCAAAACCCCTTGTCGATATCCGGCCGCTTAGACGCTGGCAGTTTACAAGTGGGCGACCAGATATTGACTATGCCCAGCGGCGAAACTGCCACTATCCGGAGTTTGGAAGTCGATGGCGAACCCAACGACTGGGCTGTGGCGGGTCAGAACGTCGTTTTGAATCTAGCTAATATTGACCCCATCCACCTTCGGTCTGGAGACGTGATCTGCCGCGCGTCCGCGCCTATTGCCAACGTCACGTCGTTTACGTGTAAGGTGTTGGCTTTCGACCACCTGTTGCCTAGCATGGTGGACATCCACCGTGGTCGCCTGCATGTCCCCGGACGGATCAGCCGGCTCCTGTCAACGCTCGATAAACAATCCGGCGCTATCATCAAGAAGAAGCCCAAGATTGTGGCGCCGGGCACCGTGGCGCGGATTGTTGTCGAAATGGACCAAGCGGTGCCTCTCGAAGCGCCTACGCGGATTGTTCTTCGGGCGGGAGGCGAGACTGTGGCCGCGGGCTTGCTGGAATAAATAGAAACCGGCCATTACGCACCGACTACGAATACATAGACAACACTTTGCTTCTGTTACTTTCTATGGAGGTCTTAAGAATGATGACTCGAGCTGGGTGCTTGATCGTGCCCCCGACTGGCCTGATGTGGAGGCTTTCAAAGATGCCACGAATGCCAGGGCTGTAGTTAGTAGTTTGCTTTCTAGACTAGATCCTGACAGACCCTGTGTCATCCTGACACAACGAACTGAAACTGACCTTAAGCGTCTTGGTCAGAGTGGCTGAAAGTAAGGGAAGCCTCCTGAGTGGAGGGGGATCCACTTGCCTAAAACGAGACCCTGGAAGAACGGTGGACGGGGGAGCAGAGAATTGTGAAGAAGAAGAGGAGGAGGAGTAGGGAGAGTTAGTGGGCAAGCCACCCGACCCCGCGAAAGCTGTGAAGGCGTAGAAGGGGACAGATGTCTAATTCTTGTAGGTTCGATGCACTGGAACCGGCGCAAGAATGAGTGCTTGACAGAACCACCAACTGGCCCGATCGGGAAAAGATTCCTAGAGGAACCTCGGGTAGACGGAGCCAGCCAGCAAATCGGAGTGCGATTCTAGCAACTTCGACGAACCGCCTGGAAAATTGTCCCGGCAGAATCAGGAGCGGTGAAGATAGATGCTGAGTCAGTTCGTGCCCTGAACGCGTTCTCGTCCAATCAGGGGCGGAGAAGTAACCTTAAATGCCAAAGCCGCGAAAAGGCCAGCATGGCCGCTGCGCTTTCTTTGCCGCCGCCATCCCATACAAGAAGGAACTTCAACTTCGGTCGAAGCTCCCTCTGAACATTCTTTCTTTCTTTCTTCTCCTTCGTAGATCCAATTCTCTTTCTTTCTTTCCTTTCTCTTC